GATTAATGCAGGCTAAATTGGCCAAAACATCGCATTAGCAGATGTCCTTGGATGTCTTTTTTCACACTTAAGCAGTCATAGATTTAAACACACACACACACACACACACACACACACACACACACGAGAGAGAGAGAGAGAGAGAGAGAGAGAGAGAGAGAGAGAGAGAGAGAGAGAGAGAGAGAGAGATTCTCTAAGATGAGAAACAAAACTTCAAACAAAAACTTAATTCATTAGGTTCAATGCCTCAAATAAAATTAAGTATGTCTTTCAGACATAGTGATAGTTTTTTAAAGTTTCAAAGCAATAAAAATTATTGAGAAAAATGCTAGAAAGAAACTGAAACAGTCCCAGGAAGCTCTTCTTTTTCTGTTTTGTGCTTTTTAGGATCCTGTGATACATAACACTCTACTCATTCTAGTGGTGCATTAAACTGTGGTTACAAGATGAAATTATTTCTTTTTTAAAACAAAGTGTGTATGTGTGTGCATATCATGGCACTTGTGTGGAGCTCAGAAGATAACTTGTCAAAGTTGGTCCTCACCCTCTACCAAGTCAGTCCAGGGGATCAAACTGAGGTCACCAGGCTTGGCAGCAAATGCCTTTAAACCATCTTCCTAGCCCTGCCCCTTTTTGGACAGCATCTTGCTATGTAGCACAAATTGGCCTCGAACTCACAGCTATATTCTTGTGTTAGTTTCCAGAGTGCTGGTATTAAAGTGGGCCATAAAGTGCCGATCAAATAGATTGTATCTGTGTATTTTTCATTTGTAATTTTTGTGCAGTGTTAGTCTGCACAGCTTCAGAACTATTTCATAAACCTCCGTGACGTGCTTTCTACTGCCCTCTGCTGCCAGTTTTTAGAAAGATCAGATTCTGGGTAAATCCATTAGCCCTCTTTCTAATTTCACGCAATAGTAAAGTTTTAGGGCACTCTACAGATAATGTAGTAATTTACACACAGGCAGCTGAGTGTTTGAAAAGTAAGGAATGTAATTATAAGCTCTGTTTTCTGACTGATCGTGTCTGAGTGCCTGGTGACTTTGGATACCTTTGTTCCAATTTAATACCTGAAACTGAAAAGATCTATTCGGTACTTCTGAAACTCCTGCAATCTTTACAAACATAATGTGACAGTGTAATGTGGTGAACATTATGGAGTATTATTACAAAGTTTCTCCGGCCCCCGGTGTAAATTCCTACTTCCTATATTTGGAGGCTGATTTCGTTATTAACTTTAAGTAACTTACCTCTCTGTGGGAATCTATGTCCGTCTCTCTGTCTCTGTCCTTCCCCCAGTCATTTCTGACATAGTCTCTCAATGTAGCCCTGGCTGGCCTGGATCATGGCACATAGAGCAAGCTGGCCTGCTCCTGTCTTTGTCTCTCAAGTGATAGGTTTACAGCTATACTTCATCACACTAGGCATTCTGGGTGCACAGATATTTGTAGTCAGTTGTCCCATCTCTTGTAGGCTCAAGAAGAACTAAGCCCCCCTCCCCCGCCCACCCCATTTCAGACAGTGCTAGTGTCATATCTTGATATATCCAGACTCTGAGGTGTTATTTCTATTTTGAAGGCTGGTTTTTACTACGGAACCCAAGCAGGTCTCAAACTCACAGTGCTCTTGCCTTAATCTCCTAGGTTAACCCTAGTCTGCTAGGGTTAAAGGACTGAGCCACCAGACCTGGCTTCAGCGTTATTTGGGCCTTATCTCTCCATTTGCGCATCTGAGAGGTTTTATTGTTGTTTGTTGTTTTTGAGGTAGTGTCATGTAGTCCAGGCTGGCTTCATACTTGCTATGTAGCCAAAGTTGGCCTTGAGTTCTTGACCCACCTTCCCGGTGCTAGGAGTCTAGGAGTGCTCCACCATGCTTGTTTCTGGGTCACTCATATGCATTCCCTGTCTCACCTATCTGCGGCCCCACTCTTAACGCCCACATCAGGTGGAGAATGAATCCAGCACTGTCCTAGCTTGTAGCCTCAACTACAGCCTCTCATCTCACTGAAACTCACCTTGTACTTTAGAGTTAGAATTCACCAAACTCTGAATAATTTTCCTGGCATGTCGGGCTGGGAAACTTTGGTCTTAAATGCTTGAGAGCAGAAGTGTTTTGTTAAAGATTTTGAAATATTTGTGTATACATAACAATACGTTTTAGGAAAAGGCACCAACTGGGAATACAAAATTCATGTCTCATATATACCTTTGTACATACATACTGACACTGAAGACAACCTTATACAATATTTTTAGTGCACTTGAACTTAGACTATCACATGAGATAAAGAGTGGAATTGTCCATTTATGGTGTCATGTTGCAGTTCAAAAACATCCAAACATTGGAGCATTTTAGATTTAAGATTTTTTTTTGATTAGACGTGCTTCACGTTTTTTGAGGTTAGATGGAATACATTCAGCCTTGTCTGTCTCAAAGGATTTCACTGACTTTATTACCCACTCTTCTCTCCTAGGATTCACTCCCTTTGGTCAGGGGTAAATCTATCCTTAGATACTAGGATGAATTTTCTGCTTCAGCAATTTACTAATCTGCACTTGGCTTCATATACAAGAATGGCATTTTTTTAAAGCCTGTAACATAGGCTGGTTTTACATTTCATGATTTTCCTGCCTTGGCCTCCCATGTTCAGCTAGACTGGTGGTGACCTTATTTACCATAATTAAGACTCCAACAAACCTCTTCACAAACAACAATATTCTAGACCTTCCTCCACTATTGTGAAGGAGTAGAGATTATCAGTAGTTTTCATAAATATTCCCACACCTTGAGAGAAGCCTCTGTCAGATCAGATTGATGAATATGAAGAGTATAATGGTAAACGATGGGAGATTTGGCATCTATCTGAATGGGAACAGGGATGAGAAAGGTGCACTCTTCAAGAAAAGCTCTTAAGGCTTGGGTTACTCTGGAATATAGTACACCAAACTTGAGAGTGACAAGAGAGACTTACTCACATGTGTTGACATGCTCTCCTATCCACAGTACCTTCAACCTGCCCACTGTATTTCTAAGTCAGTCCTGTGCTTCCGAGCCCAGGAAAGTTCACTTTTCACAGCCTCTTTTCACCACCACAGTCCAGCTGGACAGGAAGTGCCACCTTCTTTTTTTTCTTCTGAGTTACTCTAAAATATTCTTCTGTAGTTTTTAAATCATTTTTTCTTTTGTGGAACTTGGATTAAATCTAGAACTTGGCAACGGCCAGGCAAATAAGTACTATGGCACTGAGTTAGTCCCTCAGTCCTACTTTAAAAAATGATTTTTTTTTCTATGGGTGTGTATGAATGCCTACATCCATGCATATGTAACACACATGTGCCTGGTGCCTGAGGGGGCCAGAAGAGGGTGTTGGATATTCTGGTTAGCATACAAATACATGGATTTCATTAAGACACATACATGCAAAACTATTCTCTGTTTCAATTCACTGACATCTCTCTCCCCCCTCCGCCTCTTGGTAGTCTCCTTCTCTCCCAAACAGGCCACCCTTCTCCTTTCACGACACATGTAATCCATCACCTTCTCTTGCTCCCCCTTCTTGCTTTAGTCATATTTCTCACCTTTTTATGTTCATGCTGTGTACAGGCAGGAGCATGTGCACGCACGTGTGTGTGTGTGTGTGTGTGTGTGTGTGTGTGTGTGTGTGTGTAAGTAGTTTAAATCTAGATTCTGTATAAAAAATAATGTCGTTCTGAGTCTATTTCACTTAGTATAATGATCTTTAGTTCCACTCATTTCCTGTGAGTATCATAATTTCATTCTTTATAACTGAGTAAAATTCTGTTGTACACAACACACACACACACACACACACACACACACACGCACACCACATTTTCTTGATTCATTTATCATTAATGGATATTCAGGTATCTGAGTCTGTATCTTGACTATTGTGAACAGTACAGTATAAATATGGATTTGCAAATGTCTCTGGTATGTTGACACAGGGTTCTTCAGGTGTCTATCTAGGAAGAGTGGTATAGTTGAGTCTTATGGTAATTTCATTTTTAGTTTTTGTTTAGAAACCTCTGTATTGAGTGGCTGCACCAGTTCAGATTCTGCATTAATGGCTTATATTGTTGCTGTGCCAAAATGTCTTGACAAAAGCAACTTAAGGGAGAATGGGTGTATTTCGGCTCACAGTTCCAGGTGATAGTGCATCAGGGTGGGGAGGTCATGGCAGCAGGAGGAGGAGAGAAGCAGCAGACAGCTGCTCTCATTTGGCCTGCAGTCAGGATACAGAGAACAGTAGATTTTTAGTGCCCAGCTTACTCTCCTTTTGAATTTACTCCAAGATCCTAGCCCATGGAACAATAACACCCACAGTTAAAATGTGTCTTCCTATCTCAGCTAACCTAATCTAACCACAGGCACTTTCAAAAGCTAACCTAATTCAGACAAACAAGCATGCTCAGTAGTTTGTCTTCTAAGTAATTCAAGATCCTGGCAAGTTGACAATCAATATTAACCTTCACAGACACACATCAGTGGTATCTAAGGCTTCCTCTTTCTCCAAATCCTTGGGAGTGCTTGTTGTTTGTTATCTTGATGATAGCCATTCTGGCTAGAGTATCAAGGAATCTCAAAGCAGTTTAATTTGCATCTCCCTGATGTCTAAAGGTAAAGGTATTGTCCTTCTTTGGATAACTGTGTGTTCCTTCCACTTGCACATTCATTGATTTGATTATTTGATGTTTTTATATTTGCTTTCTTTTGAACTTGTTAGGCCTATGGAATAGCAATTGAATGGCAATGATTGGGGAGATAGAAAAAAACCCCAACACATCAATATGCCTATTCTGCTCTTTCTTTTGGGAATCTTCATCCCCTTCTTGCAAATTTGGGCTCATAGTTTCCTAATATGTATGAAATACACTTTGTCAGTCAAGGTTCTTCTAATCACTTCACAGTGTTGCGGATGGTGAAGGCTAACGATGTTTCAAAGGGACTAGATTAAGATCTTTATCCTGTGTTTTCAGGTCTTTCTCCCATCAAAGAAAGAATTCTGAGACAGGACAAGATAAGGAATTGAAAACTCATACACTTAAGGGGTGAGTGCAGGCTTCTCAAGCTGGAAACTTCACTGCAATTTTTATTTACTTATTTTTATTTTGGAGTCATGATATCAAAAACATGTCATGTCCCTTCTACATGACGACTTGGGATTACAGATGGGCACTACCATGCTTGAATTTTATTCTACTTTTTGTTTGCTTGTTTGTTTTGAGACAGGCTCTTGCTGTCAACTTTTATTTTTATTTTTACTTTATACTCTCCCTATGGTCTACAGGCCAGTCACTGCCAAGATTTTCTAAAGTTCATATAGAAATTCAAAAGTCATCAATGAGCTTTTGCCCTGACTCACAATATTCTGAAGCTATATGCAGAATGGCATGTTACAGCCTGGGGGGGTTAGGATGGGGAACTAGCTTCATCACTGTTAGGGCCATTATGGTCATCATTGTTGCTTGGGTAATTATCCTCTCATGTATTTACATTTTTTTCTTTTCATCTAGATACTAGTTTTATTGAACTGTACTTGGAAAGTATTTTTTAAGGTAAGCATCACATTTTCTTTTTTATCCCTTTAATTATCCTAAGAATACATGCATTATTACTCACAGATTGGTTGAAAACTTAGCTTTGTATTTTTATGTTGCATAACTTTGCCTACAGAATAATGAACATTTAAACAATTGATGAATTTGATGAATAAACTTTGGAAATAATTCTGAAAATATAGATATTTATAACATTATCTTTGTACATTTTTTATTTATTCTTTTCTCATATATTACACCTGACCACAGTTTCCCCAAAAGGAACATTTTATTTAGTTGCAAAATGGCATGAGTGTAAAGCAGGGACTGAATCTGAAAAAACATAATGTTTTGTACTTTTTTAAATGGTCCTTCTTTTTGACTTTTCATTTTCAGTGTCAAATTGACAGGTCTGCTTTAGTAGCCTAGCCCTTGGGATCAAAGACAACCAGTTCTCCTCACTGTTGCCTGTTGCTCAAATTCCAGGAATGCCAGTGAGGTCCTTTTTTTAGAAAATGCAGCTGCTGGTTTCTGGCTTGTTCTATCCACCCCAGACTTCAATGACAACTGCTAAGGATGTGGAGGGGGGAGGGAGGGGGAGGGGAAGGCGTACTGTCAGGAAAGAATTTTAATAACTAGGGTAGAGGTAAACTTGTCAGTTGAGTGTAGACATTTCTAGGATATAGTCTGCAAAGAGAGAGGGATAAAAAGAAAAAAGCCAACATGGCCTTAAAAGATGGGGAAACTTTGTTCTTCCATAATGTATCAATCATGAATTCGTTTCAGAATTCTTATCAATTGTCTCATCAACTTACCAAATGTTTTGAGAATCCCTCCTATATCCCAATTGCTATCTAATCCTCCAGAACAAAATGCTATAAAGTAAGCAACATTACAGTTCTTGTTTCAGTAGAATTTGCCACGTATTTCTTCAATCTTTTTCTCATAACACACTAGCCATGTGACTCTCCAGATGGCAGTTTCTCCACTTCCCTTTCTGGGCACAACGTAACTCTTTTGTCCAACACCCAAGGCCTTGGTAATCAGATTCAGGGCTATTGTACCAGTCCTGTTTCTTCTTAGCCTTTTCTTATGTAGTGACTAGTCCACAGTGTCTTCTTATAATTTTATGTTGGAAGCCCCAACTCCTACATACCCTTTACCATTGAGCTGAAATGCCACATACCGTTAGCCACACCATTTGCCCTGGACTATGTTAGAGTCCTTTTCTTTATGCTACCTTTGTACCTACCATTGTTATAATCTCCAGTAATATAATATTGGGGCTATTTGTATCCAGTTTATTTTCTTCTATAATAGAAGGATGGGTTATAGCTTTTCAAAAACGAATCTCCAGCATATATCATAGGCCTGGTATATATCAGGTACACAGTTAGTGATGGCCTGGTCAGTGAATGAATGAATGAAGTCATCATCCTTCATTTTTGGTATGTCAACTGCCAATTAAAATTTTCCAGTCTTCTTGTCTCCCATTGTTTCTCATGAATTCTCTTTCCAGAATGTTGTCAGAAGGGTATCTTAGTGGACTTGCCTACTGGAATGACATCCATTGGAACTGTGCATCTTGTAATGAACCGGTGGCTGGGGAACAGGGAGAGGAGACAAGTTCTGTTGCTGCTCTTTCATATTCCTCTGTGGATGAAACACAAGTCCAAAGTCTTTATGTGAGCTGCAAATCCTCTGGCAAGTTCATTTCATCAGTGCATGCGAGAGGGAGTCACCACAACAGAAGCCAGAGAAGAACAGTGCTGCAGACAAATCCCAACCCTGTGTTTGAAAGTCCAACCTTGGCCACAGTTGACATTTGCAGAGATGTGATCAGGGAGACCTATTTGGTTCCATCTTCTTGCAAAAGTATTTGCAAAAATTACAATGACCTACATATTGCAGGGGGACAGGTGATGGCCATTAACTCAGTAATGGCAGATTTTCCCTCAGAGAGCAGCTTTCAAGATGGTCCTTTGCTGAGGTCATCTGAGATTTCTTTGTCCATGGAGGACTCCATTTCCACTCAGCCCACTGAATTTCCCTTCAAACCTATCCAGAGGTGCTCATCCTACTGGAGAATAACCAGTATCAAAGAGAAAAGCAGCCTGCAAATGCAGAAGCCTATTTCAAATGCAGTGCTCAATGAGTACCTGGAGCAGAAGGTCGTGGAGTTATATAAACAATACATTATGGACACTGTGTTTCATGACAGTTCTCCTACCCAGATTCTGGCATCAGAACTCATCATGACAAATGTGGACCAAATTAGTCTTCAAGTATCTAGAGAGAAGAATCTGGACACATCAAAAGTCAAGGACATAGTTATTAGCCACCTATTGCAGTTGGTATCATCTGAGATCAGCACCCCTAGTCTCCATATTTCTCAGTATAGTAATATAACTCCATAGAGAAGATTCCTGTCAATTCCTCTCATTCCTATCAATCCCAAAGTAATACTGTATTCATTTATTCAGAGAATGTGATGGAGGGAATTATGGAGGGGAATTAAAGACTAGTAAAGGGAAGTTTGGAAATCAATATTACTATACATACTGAAGGAATGCAGGAAGAGGAACCATGAGGAATGGTTTCAAGGGCAGGTTTATACAGAAATAGAGCAAAAATAAAAATGGTTACAGAGGAAGGAAGGTATTACAATTCAGTTATAGGAGTGCTGAAATTGTAAGAGAGGCCAAATCAGGAACAAAAGGAAATAGTATGGTCAAAATAAAAAGCTAACAGGTTTCAGGATTGGGAATTAAACATGTATTTCATATTCTTGTAAATTCCTCTAGGTTGTTTCTTCTAGAAAGAAATGGACTACAAGAAGGTTGTTAAATTTGGATGGACTGACATTTTCCCAAGTATAAGCTTGTATCTTTTTTCTCTATTCTGTATCAGTAGGTCATTTAGGTATATTCTTCATAAATATTAAAGGTATACCAAACAAATTGCAATTATTTTAAATTTTTTTTGCAATAAGTTTCAATGTAGTTCAGATTGGCTTTGCAATCATTATATAGCCAAAGATCTTGAATTCCTTATCTTCTTGCTTCTATCTCACAAGTAAAAAACCCAAATGCTTAAATAAAAAATATTCTAGAGCATGAGAAACATAGATGAAATTCAAAATAGAAATTCAGTGTATATAAATAAGTATAGGCATGCACCATCACATCTGGATGTATTTTTACTTTTGACAATGACTTAAACCCCTTAATCTATTTAGTGATACAGATAGCACTTTTCTAGCGGAAAACCTCCCACTGTGAACATTAAAGTGTTTCGTTTTATTTTGCTGAGTATAATTTTCATGGTGCTGTAATGTTCAAAAGTAATTGTGAATATTTTCCTCCCCCATTTTCCCTTTTCATATGTTCTTTTGACCTGGAGCCAGAAAAAGGTCTTCTTATGCTCCATACAAGACCTAGAGTTCCATAATATCAAGTTCTGTATATTTGTTTATTAAAACAGTAGCTTCATGTGTGCATTACTCTCTTAATCTTTTATCTAGTTCAGGAGTTGGAAAACTATGATCCATTTGCCAAACCAAACTTTATGATAGTTTTGAACTCTTGTGAGCTAGGGATGGGTTTTCTTTTTCTTTTTTTTCTTTTTTCTTTTCTTCCTCTCCTCCTCCTCCTCTTCCTCCTGCTTCTTTTTATGTTGAGGCAAGGTCTTTCTATTATGTAGCTCTGGCTTTCCTGGAACTCACTATGTAGATCAGGCTGAACTCTAATTTACAGAGATCTGTCTGTTTGTGCCTCCCACATGTTAGGATTAAGGGCATATGCCACCACACCACATCCAGCAGGTTTTTATTACTTTTCATTTTTAATATAGTTTAAAAAAACTAAATGTTTAAATAAAAATATTCTAGAGCGTGAGAAACTTAGATAGAACTCAAATTAGAAATTCAATGTATATAAACTAAATTTGATTTATTCATTTACTTTTGGAAGTGCTGGGGATGGGATTCAAGGCCTTACTCATGACAGGCAAGTGCACTAACACTGAGATACATCCTGAGCTGCCTACTAAATTTTATTTATTTATTTATAGATTTTATTTATTTATTTATTTATTTACTTACTTACTTACTTTATATAGTCTGAGGCTTCTTTCACACAAGAATGGCTGAGGTGAACAGACATGGCAGAGACCGTATGGCATGACAAAGTCATACTCTTACGATTATCTGGCTCTTTACACAGACGTTTGCCTACCCTGTTCAACAACAGTGCTTCGCCCATACTTGATTCAGGTTTGCAGGGAGGCATCTCTCAAAGGATGTTAAGGAGCACGCTTATGGAGAATAGGTCTCAGGAAGAACTTCTGTGAGGAAACGAGAGAAGCAAATGCAGAGGTTGCCAGAAAGAGTTAGGGTGGATCTTTAAAACAGTTCCAAACTGAAACAAGAGAGCTGACTTTTGTACTCAAGCATCTAGCAGCAAGGTGGTTCAGTGAGGGCAACTTTCAGACCGGAAGTCTATAGTGAGTCTTCATCAGCCAAACTCCAGGCAGCTACGGTGGTAGCCTCTGAAGTGGGAATTTCACATTCAAAAGGAAGAGTTTGGGTTGAACAATCTTTTAGGATTTTCCCTATTTGTATATGCAGAGTGAAAGAATATATTTTTCATAGCATATACTATTAAGCAAGGAAACCTGATTTTGAAACAATTATTCAGAAATTTTATTCACTAGTATCAATATATCACCAAAATTATAATTAATATTAATAATAACTAATTAATCATCATAATAATAATTAATCATAATTAATATTATGCCTTAACTGCCTACTCTGTATCTAGACCACGTTAAGCATTTTCATGAATGATGTAATTCTTATAATAATCTAAGGGCTTATCTCCTTAAAATAAGCCAGCTAGGCTAAGGGTATTTACATAATTTGCCCAAAACCACATGGTAGATGGTAGAACTTAATTTGAATTCAGTTCCATTCAATTTGAAAGTTCTGTGGGCTTTTATTTTGCTGTTGTTATTTTTGTTATGGAACCAAAGAAAGTCTTGAAGTCATGTTGCTAATCTATCAGTCATCCCAGAGCTCAGATTACAGGACAGATACACACTATATGCCTAGCTAGAAGTCCTGGTTTTTAACAACTACCATATGCTTTCTCCTGTTTTTAATTTTGGCTCTTGTTCCTGGGTATGAAACCCATGCAGGGCCTCATACAAACTAGTGAAGCACTCTACCAGAGTTCTCCTCTCTATCCACTTTATGGCTTTCACTTTGAGAATGAGTCTGACAAGTTGCCCAGGCTCTCTTTCAAAGTCACTCTGTAGTCAAGTTAGGCCTTTCACACAAGATACTCCTGCCTCACTTTCCAGGTAGTTAGGATTACAGGCCTGCACCACCAGCCCTGGCTGCTCTCTTATGCACATCTCTTTAAAGTTTTCTACTTCTAGAGGAGCCAACTAATTAATCTGATAACAATTATGTTCATTTCCTTATATGTTTATTTTATATCTTCTCCCCAGAACATAAGTTTTAGTCTATTCATGTTTCCCTACATCCCAAACCCTGCTTGGACATAGCATGTGAGTAATATTTGAGAAATGGATGGCTGTATTTGGATAATGTTGGATACTGCATCTGCTGATCAAAGTCACAGACAATCAATGTGAAAATCAGATAATTGTGGCTAGAAAAAATAATACTGAAGTTTCCTCCCCATGAAGTAAACTAATTGAATAAATGGGCTTATCAGCAGGCAAATGCTACATGGAAACAATGTATAATAAAACATCACCATGGCTAATTTCTTTTGCTTATTGAGAAATAATGAAAGAAAACCAACTGGTTTGTTTTTTTTCCACTGAGCATTCATTTGATGCTGTATTTTGGTGTCTGTATTTTTTTTTAATTGGATAACTATGTATTTAGCTTTTGGTGAGATACAATGCATGTATACAACATAGAGGAGCAATCTCTCTTCTCTGCAAACTTACCATTTTATTGACAAGACCAAGAAGATAACTTGTGAGCAGGTAGCAAAGTCAATTCTTAATTAAGAACTTGGCAAGGTTGTATAAACAGAATAAGATGAGCAATGATGTCAACTCAAGTATGATGAGTTTTGGAAAGGAGACACATTAAAGGGTGCCAGACAGTGGAGGAGTCCCATGTCAAAAGCAAAGCTCCCAAGGAGAGGTAGTAGTTTAAATAACTTTTAAAGAACAAGACACATTCTAGGCAGATGGATGAGAGAGGTATTCCAAAAAAGGAGTGTTTGCTAAGGGAGGGATGACACATAGATAGCTATAAGTGGAATTGAAAAGAAGCATGAAAAATACAAAGTAAAGAGGGCTAGGGGTATAGTTCAGAGGTAGAGCACTTACTTGCCTAGCATGTACAAGGTGTACAACTTCCAGTAATGTGAAAAAAGAAAGGCACAGGTGTAGTTGAAAGTTTTCCTGTGCCCTGGCTGGCCAGTGGTCAGGACAAATCTCTCCCACTCACGTCCCCCAAGTAAACACACAGAGGCTTATATTAATTATAACTGCTCAGCCATTAGCTCAGGCTCACTACTGACTAGCTCTTACACTTAATCTCAGCCCATTTCTGTTAATTTATATGATGTCACGTTTTCCATGGCTTTACTTGTGTGCCATTACATGCTGCTCCCTGGATGGCGGGCTAGCATCTCCTCACTCAGCATTCCTCTTCCCAGAATTCTCCTTGTCTGTTCACCCTGCCTATACTTCCTGCCTGGCTACTGACCAATCAGCATTTTATTTATCAATCAATCCAAGCAACACATTCACAGCATACAGAGTGACATCACCCATCACACAGGACATGTAGTAAGGCATGTATAACAACACGTCAATAGAATAATTCTGAATTTTTGGGTTTTTTGCCATTTATTAGAATTCAGCATCTGCAGCTTTCATCTATCATATATTTTTCTTTCTTATTTTTTGCCCCAGCCATATTATTATAGGATTATAACTAGTACCTTCCCAACTAAACATTCTTGGCAGTGTGAAAGAAGTTGGAGTTCCTTCAGCATGGACTTTAGTCCAGTAGAGCCATGGTCAATGCATTAGTCAGGTTCCTCTAGAGAAACAGAACCTATAGAATGAATATATATTAAAGGGTCATTCATCAAATTGGCTTACTCTATAAAGGCTAGGCAGTTGAACAATGTATACCTCCATACTGGAAATGCTGAGGACCTGGTAACTGTTCAGTCTTCAAGTGTAGATAACTCAGCAATCCTAGTCTGGCACCAAAAGCCTAGAGAATTTCTAATGAGCCACTATCTTCAGTCCACACTGGAAGGCCAAAGCAGCTGAATTTTCATGCCACTGAAGAATGGTGGTGGTAGTCACAGCAAGATGCTACCAGCTTAGATGAACTTCCCTGCATGATGTGAAGGCAAGCACGCAAAAAGCAAAAGCTTTGTCTTTTTCCTTTTATCTGGGCTGTCAAGAGACGGTGCTACCTTCATTTTGGTTGAGTCTTTGTATTTTAACTGAACTGATAGAGAAAATCCCTCATAGGTATGTCTACTGGCTTGCCTGCTGGTTCATTCTAGATCTAGCCAAGTTGACAAGCCCGATTCGACACCACAATCAAGATTCGCCCTTAATCAAACGGTGTATATGATATGTGGCCATTGTATATTTGGTAGGATAACCACTCTAGTCCTACACATACTGTTTATTTCAGTCTTTTGTGCCCATTGTTTTACTAGGAATAATCTAATGTGGAGAAAAATGAGATGAAGTAGAATCCTTAGCAACATTTCAGTTGTGATCTATAGTACTTCCTGAAGTTTCATCTGTGATTGATTAAATTTGTGTATTAATGTAATGCATGTAGAAAGCCTAGGCGGTTGTGAAACTTGTTTCTACTAGTCTGCTTTTCCTTTTGATTATGTTTTAAAACTTTTTCTTAAGGCTTTGATCTGTCAGTCTGGAGATGGGAGCTTACCTGTTCC